TGGGCCCAGGGCAGTGGTTTGGAGAGCACCGTACAGCCTGCCAGGAGCCGGTCTGCTCCGTCCGTCACCCTGTGCACCGGCCTGCGCCCAGGGAGGTGGCCTTCCCACCACAGCTCGCAGCTCGGCACCCTTGGGACCGGACGCTCGCTGCTGCCAGCGCCCGAAACCCTTCGCAGAAACCCCTTCACGTCCCCTTAGGTCCCCGCCCCGCTCCCAGGTGTAGACGCCGTCCCAACTTTATCCTCAAAGCCTCCTCTTCTGGAAATTTCTGGCACAGAAAAAGTAACATTGCCCCCTCCCCCGTCTCGCCTCCGGCGCCCCCTTTCACACCTGCTTTTCCAAGTCAGCTGACTGTGTGACTTTGGGCCGACATTTGTCCTGGCTGGACCCAGCCACGTCTCGGGAGCCTGTCGATTCCAGAAATTCCGGAGGGTTTTGAGGGCTGGGTGGTTCCCACATGTCATCTGGAGGCTGCATGACTTCATCGATGCTCGAGAGGATGGATTAATCGCGACTTAATCCATACTCCGGGAGGATGAATTATTGGCTTCTTTGCCGGAGTCACCCCCACGGCTGGCCCTGCACTGGGACCGGGAGACGAAGACGAGTCAGGCCTGTCCGTGTGCAGTGCAGGGGCGGAGGCAGACCCTGAACACCCCGGACACACCACGTGCCTTGTGAGGGGGTCCCACAGGCACTTGGGGGAGGCCAGGGGGAGGGCCACGGCCGAGGCCGCTCCATGGAGGAAGGAGGGGAGAGAAGGCAGCTGCCGCCCGGTGTGCATGGGGTGTGAGGGCAGGGATCAAGGAAGCTCAGAGGGGGGCCTTTCCACCTGCGTCCTGAAAGCTGATCGTTCCCCGCTGAGAGAGGGAAAGGGACGTCTACACAGAAGAACCGATGGTGGAAGCTCAGGCCCCCCTCCCCCCAGACTCCGGATCTTCCAGCCCACGCAGGAGCTGCCCGGCATTTTGGCTCTCGGCCTGGTGCTCGGGACCCTCCTGGGCTTGGCCTAGGGGACCTGGGAGTCTTCGTGTGGACCTTCCAGGCTGGGAGGGACTGACAAGGCAGGGCTCGGGGCCAGGGTATGGGCCACCTGTGGTCAGGGCTGCACTGAGCACTAGCCAGTGAGGCAGTATTTCAGGAGCTGGGATGGGGCCCTGTGCCTTCCCTTCCTTGGCCTCCAGGCCCACCAGCAGTCCTCCACCCTGGAGAGGTGCCCGGGTACATTATACTAGAGTGTAAAGGCTGCCGGCAGAACCCTCCCATCAGGACCACGGACGGGGCCACAGAGGCAGTGGGAGGTCTGTGTGCCAGGCTTCCCCCCCTTATTTTCTATTAGTTAGGCACTGGCTACATTTAGAGTGGTGGATGACTGTCAGCCCCCACTGTACGGCGTCGTCACCGGGTTCGAGGGTCGGCGAGGAGGCGGCCAGGGAAGGCATCCGGGGACTCTGAAGCCAGGGTGGCTCCTCGTGCCCGCCCTGTGCCCACGGCAGACACGGCTGGTTCATCCACGTTCCTTCCCGACCGGCCTGGACTCACACGCGGAGTCCTCGGCCGCACAGCTCGCCCCGCAGCCTCTACCACCCCACCCGGGCGCCGTGCGGGTTGAATCCTGTTTGGGGCCTGCTGAGCCCGGTGCTCGTTCCGTGCCCCTGGGGACCTGTGTGAATAGCATCCTATTGGGTGGATGGACCGCGGTTTGTCCATCAATCCACCTCTTTCCAGGTGATTCTTTAAAAAAATTTTTTTTGTATTGATTTCTTCGAGGAAGAGAGAGGGAGCTAGAAACATCAATGATGAGAGAGAATAATTGACCAGCTGCCTCTCACACCTTCCCCACGGGGGATCGAGCCCCAACCCGGACAAGTGCCCTAACCGGGAATCGAACTGTGACCTCCTGGTTCATAGGTCGATGCTGAACCTCACCAACCGGCGCCAGGTGGTTCCTAGTGAGGGACCAAGGTTGAGGACCGTTGGCCTAGCTCCTGGAGCCTCATCCTCAGCGTGGAGGACAGCGTCTGCCGTGCCAGGTGCTGTGGGCTTTAAACGGGATGCGCTACGTGCAGTGCGCGGTGCGTCAGAAGCAGAAAGAACGTGGCGCCTGGGCTCTTTGGGGGAGCTCTCCGGGGAGCGGTGGAAAGATCGCCCGTTCTTGGAGCACTGCTGTGTGCCAGGCACCCCTGGGTGGGCTTCTGAGCCATATGATTCCATGGTACCTGCAGGCGAGGTACTGTTACATCTTTTTACATAGAAGGAAGCTGCAGCCCAGAGACGCACAGTAATTGCCCGGAGGTCACACAGCAGCGAGGTGACTGCAGCCCTGTCCCGCCCAGCTGAGCCTTGTTCCAAAGCCCCTGCCTCCCCAGTCCAGGGGGGACACCCCTTCTGTGCTGCCTGCCTGCCGGCATCTGGCTCCTCCACGCGGAGCCGCCCTCCCACCCCCATCAAACGCCGTGGCCGCGTGGTCATCTAGTGAGCAGGCTGGCCACAGGACGGCGCCCTGTTCTCCAGAGAGGAGGCGGGAAGGCCCTGTCCCTCCTTGTGGGTACCTGGCATTGGCCCCTTTAGGAGACGTTCCCAAAGTCTCAGGCCACCTCTGGCCGCCAGCTCAGCTGGAGAACCTTCTGCATTTGTCTGTGCATTTCAGCTGTGCAGAGCCCCCCCCCCCCCCCTC